GCCTGTAGTTTACTTCGTTTAATCGGCAAATTCCATTCTTATTTCTCCCGGTTGTCTGTAATCTCTACTCAGTAAGATTGATCGGGAAATTTATTTAAAAATACATAAAAGGTCACTCATATGTATAGATAGTTTTATTTTTCTCAGTATCGACATTTACCGTCCTTGCCTAAAACGTGTTCTATTCGTTTCAGTCTCATGGATGAATGAAACTGTGGAGGTAAATAAATTATTTCGCCATTCATCAGTGAATATGACTGAAAACATCACGTCAAAAAATCTCGACGCAACTTCCGCGATGTAGAGAAGATAATCACACTAAAAAGCTAGAAAGTCAGAAAATGAGAAAAGCTTGGTTTTTTTCACACATATAGAGAAGATGTCCAATCTTCTGAACAGGCAGAAAGTCGCTAAATCAGAAAACGTTCGTTCCAGAACACTGAAAAACTACCTGAAAACCTACAAATTCAAAAAATGAGAAAACCTTCGTTTCACCAATTTAGAGTAATTTTTCACCTCAAAAATGTTTTTTCAAACATTAAAGCACACATATTCTTGTTCAGCTCGACGAGCTCTATCCAACTACGTATAAATATCGAAAAATAAACAGCGCTCAAGTTTTGGATTCCCCATACCTTATCATGGATTCGGACTATTCTCCAGTGCTAAAATGTACCCAAATTACTTGGATGTCAACTAGTCAAAAATATTGTACATGCAATGATAATTATACTTGGTCATCATCGCTACAACAACGTTTCCACTGCAGTGGTAATGTAGACGTCACTGGGAACGAGTACTGGTATCCACCAGAAGGTCGTTGTATTGTCAAAGATAGTCCAGATCATAATGCACCAGACTACGCAGCTGCTCATAGTAATTGTTTATATTCAGTACCATCTGGCCTCACTCTAACAGTACAATATTGAACCCCAAGACTGATTAACGCTAATAATCAAACACTATTAAACTGTATGATGTAAATGCAAGACTTTCAAGATTGTGGAGCAGGCATTTCTGAAAGCAGAAATAGTGGGACAGAATAAATCCGAATAGTGGTCTTTTGGTAAATTCAGCACCATTGTTACCAAGCATGCAAGTAGCTTATAATTTAACAATAAGTGCTATGATTTATCATCTCAGCTCTAGTGGTCCTGGTTATTGATAAATGTGGCTTACACGGCGTCATGGTCAAATTCTCCTAACTTCTGATCTATATGTGATCTTAATGCGATTACATAAATAAACTAGTTTGATTACTGCGAGGTCAAGTATACAATTCAGTTTGAAAGATTTAATTAGTTCTGAAAATATAGAAAAGAGGCGTCTATCATATTAGATCGTGTTGCTTCTTCGAAGTAAGTCCCTCTTGTCATTCCCTCAACTAAGTACCTAAAACTTTATGAACTGTCCATTCGAAGTAAAAATTTTAGCACAGGTGGTCAAAGTCGCGTTTTAAAGACAGATTTTCAAAGATTATGTTTTATGTTAACTACGAATCTGACGTTGGAGTGTTAGTTAGACCCTTGGAATACTCTTCTGGAAATGGAGATCCAGGCTAGCCGCTG